TTGTAAAGGAAAAAAATCTTGCTTTTCAGCAGCCTAAGAAAGACCGATGTGACAAGTGCATCATGTACGAGACTGGAAACTTAGACGAGGAAAACTATCGAGATCGTATTGAAAAGAAAGAGAAAGCAAGGACAGAAAAAAAAATTACATAAAAGAAGCAAAGAAGGGTTCATCCACCGTTCTTACCATGGATGTTCAGTCAGTAAAAGTATCACCAAGTTTAAATGCAAGTGCCTTGTATTACAAAACCAAATTGGTCTGCCACAATTTTACCATTTATGATGTAGTTACTCATGACACTAAATGCTATTGGTATAATGAGAGCCAAGCAGATCTGTGGGGAGTATTTCAAAAGTTCCAAAATCGGAAGATCCAAAGAATATATTGCCGATCGGAAGTTCCAAAATCGTAAGATCCAACGTTTATATTGCCGATCGGATGTTCCAAAATCGGAATTTCCAAAGGTTATTTAGCGGGTCGGAAGATCCAAAATCAAAAGATCCAAAGAAAATATTGCCGATCGGAAGTTCCAAAATCGTAAGATCCAAAAGTACAGTCATAACTAGAAGTACACATTTATTTCTTAAAGTAAACTTATGAAATAGACTGTCCTTTTCACTTTGGAACTTGTGATCATATGCCGGGTCTTAAGATCCAAAACTCTAGTAATCAGATCGGAAGTTCCAAAACGCTAGAACTGTTGCGTCTCTCAGATTGAAGGCGTTTAAACACACGTCGTCACCAGCAACGTTAATGGTTATTTGTTTTGTTAATTGATATTTTAATTAATATTTTTGTATTAGTATTTTCAAGTACACACACTTAAATACACACGCATTCATACATACATGTATATATGGGATTTTGAAGGCATGCAGGGCTAGTATTGGTATTGTTTACTATTTATTTTCAAAAGTAAAATAACGTGTTTATTTTTATTCTTAAAAGATGGTTTAAGTATTAACCTTGACAATAACAATACTAAATTATCTGGCAAACGTCTTAAACAAATAATAACTTATTTTATAGCTTATGACAATTTTTGTTTACTCCGTAAGAGAATCTAGAATAAATCATTTGAAAAATGAAAAGATAATGAATTTGTCGTGGTTTATTTGAGCTGAACTATTAAGTTGTAATAGTGTACTAGTAACCAACGCTAAATATTTGAAGTTGTTTCCGGTTGTTGTAACAAACAGGTAGTTTCAAATTTAATTAAATTGAAATTGTAACGTTAAATTATATTTAGTTTTCCCCACAACTAGCGAATGTCTGCTGTAACCTAATTCAAGTGATATGTATTTTTTTCCTTACAAAGAATGTGTTTTATGAGGAAATGTAAAATGTTCAACTGTATATCAAACATTTGCGTCTAATCAAGTTTTGTTGGAGATTCAATTTGTGTACCTAAGTAAAAGGTTTTGTTGTAACAATTTTAAGTCATGTTTGAAAATACTTATTGTTCTGCAAACTATCGCTTAATCGTTGAAGATATGAGAATTGACTTATACGACATAGTTTTTTGGTCTTTATATGTGTAAATAGCTGTTCTGAATTAAACTGTTTAAAAAATTGACTACTCGATTCCCGTGCGTTCGACTGACCAACATTTGTACATTAACTCCCTTTACTATTCAAATACTGTTTGCGTAACTGTGATGTATATGGGTTGCGTTCTGAATCACAAGGCACTGTAATTATAGATAGGGCTCAGATTATTAATTGACGAATATTGTGTAAATAAAGCAATTGTTTTAAATCCGCTTATTAAAAGTATGCTATCGTAAACGAATCAATTTAGCATTTAATTTGTTTAAATAATAGTGATATATTGTTATCAAATGCACAACAATTATTTTTAATAAATGTGTTTCCAGTTGGTGTCGTTTGAGTGCACAGGCGTCAACTCAATGTTTCACCCGTATTTAATGGTAGATTGTACAAATTAAAAACACTATTTTTTATAGTTGAAACAAAATATGGACAGGTCTAATTAGTTACATAATTATTGAAATTAATTATTTCATTATAATAATCTTTCCAGTAAAAGATTTATGCTCCAATAGGACTTATCAGTTTTCGGCTTCAACTAATCAACGAAAAGTCTAGTGTGGTACCGAGAGATAAATTATGCCCCTTACCTATAAAAATAATCGTATTTTGCATGATAAATGTCTAAAAAAACTGGAGTAGGATCTCCTTTTTTAATTGCATACCTTATTCAAGTTGTTATTAGTTCTGCGATGAAATTTCTATGGTATTTAATAGAATTATATTTGTATTGTAATAAAACATGTCTGTGTAGTATATTTCTTTAACAATTAAATGTAATTAACCAAACTCAGCAAGGATCAGTCACCCGTTACTATCTTTTAGTTTAATATTCATTTATCTTTGTTTAAGGTATATTATTTTCTACAATTTAAAAACATTTATTAGAAGTCTAATTGTCTAAATGCAAATTTACTTGCTCTTATTGTCCTGCCATGTAGGTATAAAATAAAAAAATGAAAGTATTGTAGAAGAGGGTTCGTGTAAAGGTAAATTTAATGAAGAATACGCAGCCCAGTAATTTGTTGATATTGTAAAGAGTGTGATATTTCGTTATAAGTCTCTTTGAACTGTGAAGGATCCAAACAGTAAACAGAAAAATAAGTGTTACACAGGAATTAGTACTGGAAGGTGTTGAAGACTGTACAGTATGTAGAATCATTTGTGTTCGATAACTAAAGTGAACCTCCACAAAACTACAGTAACGGTAGGCCTACAGTGGTAGACTGTGGAAGTATAGTAAAACTGTAGTTAATTTTTCACAACAAATAAACTTACAAATGTTACCTACAATTAATGTGGATCTTTGGTTTCTAATGACTCAATTTTTTACTTTTATGCCCATAACATTTATTGTACTCCCATTGATTATGGTTGCTAACTATCGCTATATCGTCATAAAAAATAAATTTAAATTAATTAATTTAATTTAAAATTAATTAAAAACTCCGTTATACTTAATGGCTAATTTATGCGACAATATTTATCTAACATAGAGCGAATTAAAATGTTGTTTTTAAACATTGTCTGAATATACGTCTCAAATATGATGTTGAAATGGTTTTTGGACAAAAAATACACACACCAAATAAGTAGTTTGGTTACTTTTCTATACAGATCTAAACTCGAGTGTCTAAACTTTTCCCCTGACATTAGCAACGCGGCTGGTTACGGCGTTCATCGCCTTCAATCTGAGAGACGCAACAGTTCTAGCATTTTGGATGTTCCGATCTGACTAGTAGCGTTTTGGAAATTCCGACCCGTCGACATACGATCGCAAGATCCAAAGTGAAAAGGACAGCCTATTTCATAAGTTTACTTTAAGAAATAAATTTGTACTTCTAGTTATGACTGTACTTTTGGATCTTACGATTTTGGAACTTCCGATCAGCAATATTTTCTTTGGATCTTTTGATTTTGGATCTTCCGACCCGCTAAATAACCTTTGGAAATTCCGATTTTGGAACATCCGATCGGCAATATAAACGTTGGATCTTTCGATTTTGGAACTTCCGATCGGCAATATATTCTTTGGATCTTCCGATTTTGGAACTTTTGAAGACCATCCGATCTGTGTGCTAGTACATTCGCAAGCTGTGTTATTGAGTATTTAGAGGAAATGTGTGACTGTTCCAGGCCGATAGTGATGGCTGCACTGCACAAAACCGAAACTCGACAATGTCCAATGCTTTGCTTTGTTTTAGTAAAGAGAATTCAATTCACTCATTAATTGAAAGGAAAGTTAAAGATCAAAAATACACTTACCATCTGACTACATCAGGCACACAGAAATGGCCAGAAAGACTCCCATAATCCGGACAAAAGAAGTAGGGTTTGACTTCCCTAAAGATTATGGTAAGAAGTCATTACTGGTGTACGACAGCATAATAACGCAGTCTACCCGACATTGTCGGTCAACGACGCAGCACACAAGTATCAAGTATCAAGTATCATACGGCCTGGAAGGAAACCAGGGGACCCTAAAGTAACCAACATCAAGGCCATCAAGTACGCTAAAGGAGAAATTGAGGTTAAAGTTGAAATTTGATGAACCTTATTTTGCCCTGCCCCAAAGGGTAAAGAGATCTTGCCCAAGTTTGTCGAGTTTTCCTTTAGTAAGAAATGCGCCGATACCAATGACGAATAGAAAATGGCAACATTTACAGCAACTTAAGGAAGTTATTCCACGTGATTGTCACGCATTCTACGACCATAGCTACCTCACGAGGGATAAGAATCATTCATAGTATCAACAACCGGGAACTAGGGACACTAACTACTCTTGAGGCTGATTTTATAAGTAATTTTTTATATCTTTGTATTTTTTTATAAATTTAATACTTTTTTATAACTGCAAACGGCATCCCAGTGTTGATTTCTTAAGTACATCTTTGAAATGATTTTTATACTTTAGTATTTTAGGGACGTTTGAAATCTTAAGACTCGTTGTAATGATTTTTATAAGTTTGTATTAATAAAGTGTTGTATTTGAAATACCTATATTTTGTAACTTAAAAACCTTGTATGTACCAGACTGTAAGAAGTGATACCTTGTATGTAAACGATTTTTGTTATTGGAATAGGAAACACTCATTTAAGTATTTATTATAATGTAAAATATGAACATAATAGTTTGTCAACATTAAAAAGGCATCTAGAAATATTCTTGTACAAAAAAAAAACCAGTTTTTTCTACCTCATGAAAAGTAGTGATTTTGGACATACAAGTTGTCACAGTTAGGCCATGTTAGGCTAACGAATACACAAAAAGTTACCAAAGTCTATATTCGGCTTCATGATCAATAGAGCAAGCCAACAAATTGGCAGTTAGAAAATTTACAGAAAAATCACTAGCAGACGATGACGTTTGACGTTCAGGTGAACTGTCAGTGTAAACAGGAAGGAACTGAGTACACAGTGAACAGAAAGAGGAGGAACGTGCATGCAGGGGCAAACAAACAAGACTTAGGCTCAGGGTTCGTGGAAAAATTTATTTTTATCATTTTACATTATCAGAGTGAGATATCAATCGCATTAGTCATTTTTTTAAATTCATTTTGGAGGAACAGTGGACTTGTAATGTCTCATTTTTCATCGCCGATGCCTTCAAGGGAATTTCTTTGGGATGTGTTTCAGAGGTATGTACTATGTAAAATCAACTTTAAAACTTTTCTAGGATTTTAGGCTGGATTTAATGTTGATTGTACTAAAGTAGTTATGGATAGAACTTAACATCCAATTTCCATGTTTAAGTAACACAGTTTAGTAGAGCTTCAATTTACAAATTCACAGGTTGATCTTTTTCATATTAGGCCTATGTTACCCTAGCTTGATCAATCTTAGCAATATTTACGACAGGACTTTATAGGCTACACATGTTGTAAGACTTAATATTGTGATTTAAAAAAAAAAACTATATCCGACTCCATCGTAATAATCAATTATAACTTAACTATATTGAAGTTGGGTTTTTTGTTAGGTTAACCTATTCATTAAATCAATACTTTTATAAGTTATTGTTAACTTAGTACAATCACAGAAAACGTACTACTATACCCAGAATGCCAACCGCATGGTAAAAAGCATTAAGCGGTTTGAGAGAGCTTTGCCTGTCAATCCGTAGGCAGCGCCAACAGCGTTGCCATGCAATAGCATAGCAACGCTGGTGGCGCTGCCTACGGATTGACAGGCAAAGCTCTCTCAAACCGCTTAATGCTTTTTACCATGCGGTTGGCATTCTGGGTATAGTAGTACGTTTTCTGTGGTACAATGGAGTCAGATCTAAGTTAAAAGTTTTGCATTAACCAACCTCATAGGCTACTGCCATTACGGTATGGCTTGTTCTAATATATATTGTTCTAATATGTTAGTGAGTCGGTGGCTCAGTCGGTAGCGTCGCGGACTTCGGGCCCAAGGCAGCGATGTCGTGGGTTCGGATCCTGGTCACTGCCGATAACATTTTATCAGTACAGTTCACCTTTGTACTGTACCGGCTCACTCCTTGCTTTGCTGCAAACGATCCACGCACGGGCGCTTAGTCTATGTGGACGGGCAAATGCAAGGTTAAAAGAGGCCGCCAACCTCTTTTTTTAAAATAAAAAAAAAAAAATATTGTTCTACTACTCACATCCAAAATGTTTTATAATATTTTTATTTCTGATTTTTTTTCTCGTAAGATTGTGGTCATAGGAGTTACATATCTACAGCTTGTATTTGCCCTTCTTTGTTAAATGTCTGCGATTTCAGCTACTCTGTAACTACAAACCCCTCTCCTGCAAACCGTCCCTAACATGTTTTGTTCCTCAGAGTGGATTCAGATCGGAGTGGTTATATATCTGCCGATGAGTTACAAGTAGCTTTATCTAATGGTACTTGGACTCCTTTCAACCCAGAGACCGTCAGACTTATGATTGGTGAGTTTTAAAATCTAAGTACTGTACTAAATATTGTTGTATTTTTCTAAAACATGTACAAAGCCGCGTTAAAACACCGGAGTTTGAAATACGAGTTGTAAACAGAAATTGCAAACATCTCTAAAACACGCATTTTTAGACAAAACATGATGCTGTTGAAAACAGTTTTTTCAGTGTTTGCAACAGAAATTTTTGTTTTTCCACCTGAAGTCGGTAAAGATAAAAGGGAGTAGCAATCTTTTGTTTGCAACACTGGTTTCGGCCACTATGTACCGTTGAAACACGAAACAGAAACATTTCTCCGCCATCCCCTACGCTGCCACTTCCTCTCTCACTCACGTGATCACTCGCACCCTGTGTCTCAACTCAAGTGTCATTAGCCTGTCTGGACTGCTACTAGTTAAGTACCTCATGCTTGTGAGTGACAATGGCAAATTGACTGAGTGAGATGGATTGGGGAGATGACAATATTCTAAAGTTAATTAGCTAGTACTGAGAGCAGCAAGTCCTGTGGAACCAAACTATTTCCGATTACAAAAATATAAACATGAAAAACTACACATGGAATGACATTTGATTCAAAATGACATCCTCTACACCTGACATCCTCGGAAGGACTGATCCCAGGAACCAGTACTTAGGCGAGTCATAATCAAGGTCAAAGTGTTTAAAACATTTCCATAAAATATTAAATTAAAACCATGAAATAAAAATTGCAAACTTTTATTTGAAACTGCTGTTTGCAATAAAATTTTGCAACTTTATCTTTGAAACGTCGGTGTAAACGCGGCTTAACAACATTTTGTGTTGTGACATATGTTTTTTTAATGGTATAGTCCTACAAATAACAAGATAAGATAGGGCACAAACAAGATGAAGTCAGAAAAAAACGCAGCTTAAAACTGGCAAGTAGGCCTAATACTTAAACTAAAGCCAGTACCGTAGCCAATTACGTTAATGAAAATTCACTAAAAAATCTCTCTATATATTTTTTTATGTAGGTACTTTGTATTATAAAACTAAACCAAATTTAGGCTATCACGTTTTTACTAATATTTATTAATATTGCCATCAATGTGAAAATGAAAATAAATACAAATGTGTTATAAGTTCCTTGGTAATATTATAAACTGTATATAATTGCATTATAATCATACTTAGGCTAAATATTCAAGTTGTCTAATTGTTCAAATAGCCTACTTTGTAATGGGTTCCCTGTCTTTTAAAATAAAAATTTCTGAAATTAGACCTACCTTTTCCTTAAATAACAAAATTCACTTCTGAGCTAGGCCTACATGATATCCTCAAGTGCATTTTCACAGGAATGTTTGACAAACAGAATAGAGGAACTGTTTCTTTTGAGGACTTTGGAGCATTATGGAAATACGTGACGGACTGGCAAAACTGCTTCCGATCATTTGACAGGGATCATTCCGGGAACATAGATAGGACGGAGTTAAAAACAGCTCTGGTCTCATTTGGCTACCGACTCAGCGAGAACATCATCGACCTAATGGTACGCAAATTTGACAGACATGGGAACGGAACCATCTTGTTTGACGATTTCATCCAATGCTGTATCGTCTTGCATGTAAGTATTTTATAGAAAATGTTTATGATCTTGGTTTTAAAATTTAGCTAATATGCTAAAATTATTAATCATTTCTACATTGGTTATGTTTCAAAGTACAGTAGATGCTTGATTACCAACGATAGGTAATAGCTATATATATGATATTAGTGGCTGAGTGATCATGGAAAATGCAAGCCTAACCTAAAATGTCTGGGAAATAACTAACATTCAAAGTCCTTTTTTAAACCAGATTAACAATACATTGCATTGGCCAACATTAACTTTGAATTTATAGTTAAGCTACTAAATTTAAAATAAACTGTCTTGAAGAGGTTGTAGCGGACCGCTACAACAGCGCAAGTCACGTGACCACGATGCGCGCGCAGTCGACCCGGGTAGGCACGCGCAGCGAACCAAGAGACGAGTTCAGTGTAGTGTCGAGCGCCTGGAGCTGTACATCTGATCGGATAAGTAGACTGTAGCCTAAGATGTCTAGCTAATAGAAGTAGGGGTTGGGGAAAGGGTGTAGGTTGGGGCAAAAAGTAATTCAATCATGTAGTTTATTAGGTTCTCGAAGGGTCGTGGTCTGGCAATTAATATCGTAAATTAGAATTCACATTTGCTAAGTCTAGTAACCTTTTTCACGAATTAGAATAAGTATATATATATATATTTCTCTGTTCATTATATTATAATTAGATACATTAAGAACATAAAAGCTGGCTGTGATAGGCAGCTAAGGTAATATTGTGCACTTTGACGAGCTAAATTAATTCCTTGCAATAGAGTTGGGTTTCGACAGGAAATGTGCGTGATTTGGCAGTGGTTAGAGGAAGATATATAGGGCCCAGGTATCTTCATTTACACTCATACTACACCACATCATCACAAGGTTTATACAGGTTAAGTTAGGCTAATAAAAATAAAAAATAAACATTTTCAAACAGTGATCATACCTTTTAACTTTGTTTCATACGTTTATGTAAAAAAATATTATTGGATAGCCTAGATACAAGTTAGGCCTAATAACAAAAATTAAAACACTCTAAATATAATCGGTAACTCATCAGTGGTCCTTGAAGTCAACAACTGCATCTCTTTAGTCTTGCTGCAAGATGATGAGCCTCTTAACACTGAACATTAAGTCCATCGCTTACATAATACATTTTTTATTTATTTTTTTATCGTTGTAAAGCCACAGCAAGGTTAATCAAATCATGGGAGTCTACGGCACGATCAATGAGTGTCTACTATTTGCAAAATTATTCTGTTGACCCAACATTACTGATTTACTGAAAATAGAAAGACAAATCGGTCCCTTCTTTACCATCGTACTGCACATTTTCTCTCAAAAATAGGAGTACTTTTACTATAAAAATGCAATAATTTGAATTCTGACCCCACGGATTATACTCTATATTATACACACACAGTATTGCAATACAATTATTTATTCAATTCATTATACAATCATGCTCTGGAACCTGCTTGAAAAGTCTAGTTAACAAAATTCTACCTACACAATTCTATATTATTACTGCAATAAAGGAAGTCTTTAGATTTTGAGAAATGGTCAGACAAATCAACTAGTTTTAAAACCCAAGGCGGATAAACTAACCTTAATTTCTTCTCAAACAGAGTAGTAACTGTGATCGGAACGGGGGTCGATTTTGGGTCGGTCCAGAGAGTGACCACTATACCCACTTTGACAACTGACTTATTTTTTTATCTTAAATGTTTACAAAATTAGGATTTAACTATGTTTAAATTAATTTTTTCCAGACACTTACATCAGCATTTCGGCAGTATGATACAGACCAGGATGGTTATATCACCATTCACTACGAACAATTCATCGGAATGGTGTTAGGACTGAAGATCTAAACTGTTTAGTCAGTATTAAAAACTATATTAGGGGCCTATGTTTGTTAATACACACAAGATAAGATATTAGTGTTATGCTTGTTGTGATCCTCCGAAGAGGAAACTGCCTTCTAGACGTTTCTTGTAATATTTTCCATAAAATCCTTCAAGCTTAATTTTGTGCCATAATAGATTTCAGCCTAAGAAAAATATTAGACTTAACGGAATATGTGGAAAGCTTCATGTATAATGAAAAGTTAGTTAAAGCATTGATTTAGGATACTTTACACGCTAGTGCATTTATAGGCGAAGGTTAAAGGCCAAAGGGTAATGTAGTTAGTAGTTAACAAAGTGGCAGTGATCAAAACATAAACGGTGGTTATTTAGCCCATCTGACACTGACAGGTGCGCGATAATCACACACTTTCAATACACAAGTCCAGCCGTCACTTCAGAAATGTCGTTGCGCTGTCAGTTTTTTATATTAAAGTCTACTACAATTTTTGAAAGTCCCGCTTGTTGTAAGATGCCATCTGTAATATGATTTTTGTTCGACGTAAACTTTTAACCTATAGATATTTATCATAAAGTATGTGATCTCACTCGGCAAAATCACACTCAAGATCGCCTTCATTCTAATATTAAAATGAGAAATTTTCACTTAACCACCCTACAGCAAACCAGACCTTGCTTCGAGTGTTTTCTTTCAAGAATTAGTATTCCGTTGTTTCCAAAAATTAAGACCTGTTTAGAAAGAGCACGTTTAGAAATGGAGCTCCATTTCCGTGTCACCAGATGGCAAAGCTCACAGGTGGCGCAATTCTACGATAAAGGAATTTCAAAGCACTTCCAATGCTATAAGTGCCTTAATTCTTTTGGTGGCTATGTAGAAAGTGGTATTTTAGTTGATATTTCAAATTTATACTGTAAAATTCTTGTCTCTTACAATCTTTTTATTTTATTCCAAATATTCAGAACAGCCCTTGTATTAAGTTCCATCACAGTTCAAAGGTTCCCTACATTTTTCGGTATTAATTATTTCGTGGAACCAGGGTGTCTTAAACAATATTTCCCTATGTGCATTGATTAAAATTACATTATCTAATTTTGAAAGAAGAAATCATTTATGTATTGGGTGCAGTAAAAAGAAGTAGTAAATTAGCTATTAAATATTATAAACAATATAATGCGTCTGAAACTGAGATTTATTTAGTTATAAAATATAATTTTTGTCAATTTTGTTATTGTAGGCCTATTTTGTATGTGAAATATTCAGTATTTTAAATTCTTGATAACTTTATAAACCCTTTATTCTTTATTTGTTTTTAGATTTTGTAGTGGAATTAAATATAAAATAGGGTAGATAAACAATTAAATTATAACAATTTAATTTTGTATGACTTTAACTGTTGCGGTGTTATTAGGACACCCCTTGAAAACAGTTTGTTAAAAAAAAAATAAAAAAAACAACTCATTGTATTATGTAGCCTATAAAATGTGTAGTGACATCAGCATATTCAGGGATTCTTTCTACAAAATATATCACGTTAAAAGCTCTGTACTTATGAAAATGTTTTACTTTTTTAAGTTTCTCAAGTTGCAAAAACAAGAACAGGAAACCATTTCTTACTATAACATCTTAGTACCGTACTTAATATTTACATAGTCTATGATTTTTTAGAGTTATAAAGTTACCACGAGTAGTCATCATTGATGCTATTGTCACTTAAAATAGTTTTCTTACCCAAAGTTAAATAACTCTTGTGTCAAATTGTATACTAAAGTCTGACTTTTATAATGTCTGTGATTTGAATAGAACTTTTTGTGATCATTGCATGTAATGTGGATACATTAGGGTTATTTCTTATCTGCTAAAATATGTTTATATGCAATATATTGTAGCTCAAGTATTTCTTTAGATACTCTGTAAATCATATTATTTTTATTTTTTGAATACTGTGGCATTTTAAAAATGTTTCAGAAATTGTACATATTTTATAATCGACAATATTATAAAATCAAAAATACTTTGAGATGCATGTTTTTCATGTGTGACATTACTATAGTCTAAATGACGGAACCTGTCTCCTGGGGACTCCAACAGTTTAAGGCCCAGGGCTGTCCCTAGTAGACAAAGGGACAGAAGACAGGTTCCAACATACAGACTAAACAAAACACTGTAATACATGTAACAAGATGTTCGTTGCTTAACTGCACAAATCTTAACTAAATGAGTTCAAATACTAAAACCATCTGCAATTGCCCTCAGAACGTTAATATTCTTAAGTAAAGTTCCTTCATGTCCAATTACTTTTAGAGTTACCATATTATCTTTGTACCAAACAAACCATGTAATCGAATATTTGATCAACTATGTAAGATTTAAAAAGACTTTGAATTTTCATTGGGGTATATTTATGTAGCAAGAGTTGTATAGAGATGTTATTTTAATATAATAAACAGTATATAAATATATTTATATTTCCTTTGCTGTTTTTTTCATCTACCCTAAAACTGTATTTTACTTTTCTATATTAAAAAAAAAATTTCTTTTGAAATGGGAACCATAAGAAAGTATGTATTTTAAACCAAGTATGAATGGAGATGAGTGTAGGACGAGTGGCGCGATCTTGTAGTCTTGTTAGTGACTAAGGCCGACATATTCCTTAGTCACAGCTGTTAATTAATAGCCCATACAGCTAACGAATGGTAACTAAGGGACCTACAGTTTATGGTGGAATCAGAACCACATTTTTGCCTTGTAATTAACAAATTGGTCTAATTATGGATAGCACTGCGGATAGTCGTAGTACTCACTAGTGTGGACCTTGATCCACACCAGGTAGTATCACATCCACAGTGCATGCCTATGAATATCCACAATTCAAGACCTCCTAGTAGCTGGATTACAGGACGACGCCACCGTCAAATCAAAGGTTAAAACTAGGGCGTAACAAGACCTCCTTACAAGAGATGCAAATAGCGTTGAAAAACACATAGCCTAGTAAAAATTAAGTACATGTACAACTATTAACACCATACTCTTCGCTGAGACAGAAGGAAACAATAAAACAATACCATTTGCTGTCTACAATATGTCGAATATTGCATTTATTCATGATAAAAAATGAAACAACGATACAGTTGTGATGAATGCAATTTGTACAGCAAACAAACGGGGCTAGGATGCGTGCGCACATGAAGCCTCGACATACAAAAGCTAGATACGAAACGTGTCTACCGCGAGAAGATACTGAGCTGGTAAGGCGCACACTCTATTTACATCCAGATTTCCTCTTCGCTTTTTGGAAATGTTGAATTTTTTGTAATGATCAACACATTATATTATTTAATATGATTGTAAAATTAATAATCTTACTTGAATGCTCAGCAGCTATATTATGTATAAATTATGACCAAGTATTATGTTAACTCAACCTAAAATACAAGGAAAAATACATAAGAAAAATTAACCTTTAAAAAGGTTGGTATTGATTTAACAAAAAGATTATTATAATTAAAACCAGATTAAATATTTAAATATAAAAGATCAGATTCATTGTGTGCCCTTCCCTTAACTGTATTTCACTAACTTTTCAAACTAGTGAAAACAGTAATAAACCTTTAAAATTACTCTTTCCCGCTGATGAATATCCAGCAAATTCACTAAAAAATAAATGATAAGGTTTGTGTCTGGAAAATAATTAAAAAACTAGATTCTCTTTATGACAAGAAATTAAATTCATACAAACAGTAATAAAACTATAATAGACACAACAAATTCCTTACAACTAAGAGCCAGGTTTTTAGACGAATTTAGGTTGTAATTTAAGACTGAATCTATTTTTTAAGATTATACAACGGTAACTATTAATCCAAACCAACTGTTTCTTATAGATAGTTAAAAATTGATTATAGTTTGATTAACGCTTTTAAAACTCAATCTTGACTATACGATAAGCTTTCAATATACAATAACAAAAGCTCATTTGAATAAAAATGCTGTATTAAAACTTTAAACACTTTAATGAATCAAATATGAGTTGCACTGATAACCAATTTAAGAAACAATTGACAACTCACGTTTAAACGTTGCATTTTTATCCATCCGGAAAATACCAATGTTTAATTAAAGATCTTGCATGACCACTATAGTATATAGTTTGTAGCTCAAATCAACTATATAATTTTAAATTAAAATCTGATGTCTTGTTTGAGCCAAAGAAAATTTCGTTACAGTACTTAACCAATTTCACACTTAACCGGAATCACAGATGCAGCGATTGCGTTTGTTGGCAGAATGATTACGCGATGACTTCACCGACGTTACTGTAGCATCAATGGTGGATTAATCGCGGCCTCCAAACATAACAAAACAGTCTACACTACGAAACGTATTCGATGAGACACTGATTTAAGCTTTTCAATTGTCGGCATTCGATTGAAAAGGAATAAGTTAAGAGTGTACGAGGGGGAGGAGCATTAGCGGCATTCCCAGATCTTGACGGACTGATCGACACTGCCCGTGATCACAAATGGCTGCGATTTGTGGAAATCTGGAAAAAACAAAACTTTTATCACATAAAGCGTTGTTGTTTTTTTTTTTTTTTTTAAGTGTTTACAAAGGTGATACAAAAAACTGCTTCCTGTTTAGATCTTGTTTTTATGTTATTGTATTCTTAAAATGTTTAATATATTAATGTTCTTACTAATTTTGGGGACATAAAGTGTGATTTTATATAAGGTATCCATTTATTTATTAACTTCTGACGATCTATAATTAGAGTCTGGTCCTAAGGCTTGAACAAAAATTTAATGATGATTCTTCATAAGGCAAACTAATGAGCTCATGGTTTTTTCTTCTGATTGTTAACCTCTAAGACTCACACTGAACAAGAGGGAGAACACTAAATTGTTTGTTCAAATAGAGAGGGCAGTCGGGGATAGGGCCTACCTGCAGCCAATGAATACAAACCTTATCCATTGGCTGCAAGGAGATCACATTCCCAACCGCCTTCGTTATTTGAACGATCTTAAGTTCCTTCCAGGAAAACATGAAGGTTTGACATGCAGAGTAATTTAATTTCAAAGGGGGAAATATACAGTAGGTTATTATTTATAATGGTTTAAATACCTGCATTCAGTAATCCAAACTGCTGCTTGTGGCAACCATAGTTTCGGTTCACTGGGAACCATCTTCAGGCCGTACAAGGTGTCGTTATTTACCTCCGTATATGAAGGCCGTCATTTATAATATAATTACATAAAACACACACAAACACGCACATTGATTGACGAACATTTAACATTAATAACGACACCTTGAACGGCCTGAAGATGGTTCCTAGCTGAACTGAAACTATAGTTACCGCAAGCAGCAGTTTGGATTACTGAATACAGGTATTTAAACCATTATAAATATTCAAACGTAATCCGGAGGCTAACAACTCTTTAAAATGAAAGTAGGTTATTACTTTGCAGCAAACAATGCTACAGTACTTCAAATGATCACTGCTATTACTGTTAGAAATCGAGCCATATGTTAGTTAGGGAAATATGCGTTGTATGGGTGTATAAAACATGGAAAAAGATTATTTTAATTTTGACTTTAGTTTTGTAGAACAAGTGAATAGTATTAGTAAATATCCATTAAATTTAATTTAATAGTGACTTCCGTGACTTAATGGACCAATAAACAACATAATACAAAGATATTTAAAATAATTTAACCAAAGTACCAATGGAGGTGCAGAAATGTGTGTGCGCCTCTATCGTCTTGCAGCAGCGGCGGTTGCGCACATCCCAAATTCGCATGGTCTTGTCGTCAGACACGGACACCAGAAACTTGCCTCCTGGATGGAACAGAACGCCTCGCACCCAGTTGTCGTGGCCGATCAATGTGAACAGACACACGCCGATGCCTACGTCCCACACCTAGTCACATCATGTCAGTTAGAATAGAATTTATTGTCACTAGACGATACATGTGAAATACAGTTAACAATCTAATATTTTGTTGCAAATTTATCCTAGCACCAGTAACACAAAAACTTCACACAACACACAATGATTAATTGATTAGATAATAGATTAGTGGTGTCACTGTTCTGAAGATGGCCATCCTATAGATTAAATATATTGTTGGAAATATACAATAATTTAGTGGCAATCTGGTAAATTGATCAGAATCCAGTATCTTTTTAAGCCTTTTGGTAGAAAATGATAAAGTGGATTAAATAATTTATTTGATTCATTGAGTAATAGTCTTAGATTGATGAAAATTTGAGTGGATTCACCTTGATTGTTTTGTCCCTGGAGCCGGAGACTAGGAAGGGTCCCTCTGTGGCTCGCTTGTTGTCAGTGCCAGCCGCATCATTGATGGCTGCGTGAGCACTGTCAGGGGCCCAGGCCACACACTCTACCACGTGGTCGTGGTCTCTCAGCTCCACCTGCCAAAACAATGTTACCAAATTAACTCAAATTAATTATGTTTAAGCCACCGATTTGCACCAACTTTGTTTCCCGTGGTTAGAATAAAGGATCACATTCTATCAAGGATCAGAATTAGCTCATCGCTGTTGGTAAAATTTAACTACAAAATTCACTTCTAAATCTATAGCTTATACTATTCCAGGCTCGTGCCTAGCGACCTATGACAAAAAAATTGTTTTAAGCTTTACACGTTTAAATAGATAAACTGTTACGTTATTTCACAGTGGCCAACAGCAGTAGGTTTTTACCTTGCACTCCCTGGAGGCAGCGACCCAGACCCTGACTGTATGGTCGTTGGAACAAGAGGCAATGTAGCTGCCATCTGGAGACACCCTCACCATCCTAACCCACTCTCTGTGGCCAGTGAAAGTCTTGACACAGTAACTAGATAACCAAACATTAAATTATTCATAAACACAAGATTCTAAATTCCTCCGATTACTAAATGTACTGGCTGTTTTTTAAATGCAGATAGCTAATTTGGAAGGACATTATCAAAATGTATGGATGAAACTGCATTAGTTTCCAAGCTAAGAAGACTTGTCGTACAGATTGTCTTCATATACAAGACTCCCTCTTATCCGGACTCCTCGGGACCAAGGCCAGTCTGGATAACGGGGTTTCCGGTTGAACCGACGTCCCCAAAAACTCGTTAAAACAAACTGTTTACCATGATATTCGACTTAAATTTAGGAGAGCATTGTATTTAGACACGTGATCACTGGTCTCAAATCTTTCCCACGAGAACAGTCGTTACAGTACTGCCCACTTTCCTGCCGATCTAGTCCAGTTAAACCAATGTGCAGATAAAAATTTTCCGGTTAAAGAGATGTAATTTTCGCCGAGTGTAGTCCGGTTAAACCGATGTCCGGTTAAAAGGTGTCCGGATAAGAGGGAGTCTACTGTAGAGGTTTGCAATAATGTGTACTGAGGTTCAGAACATAACCGATAGTATTTGAAATTGTTCCACTATATTATCTATCAAGGCTGGGCGAGGGCAGAGGGTATATAGGTTTGTGGAAAAAGGTTTCTAGAAGTCTGCAATCTGAATCACATTTTTCTCTTTAGGAGACGGTAGCCATAACAAGCTAATAATGAGAAAAATCCTTTAAGAATTGTTCAAGTCTTTCACAATTTAAGATTTTAAATCCAAGCAATGCTTCATTGCTGTCCCAAAAATCTTCCCAGAATCTGTCATCCTATTGGTTGCCCTATTTTTCAAATAATCAGCCCAATTCTTCCTTTATGAATTCCCAAAATGTCTTTCCTTTCTAAATGTAAAATCCAATCTACTTAAAAAAAAAAGATTATTCAAACCCTGCTGAATTTCCATCAATAAAAAACGTGTTTATCCTCCTAAGTTCTACTGTTCCTAAACATAGGTACTAATTCTCCCAGACATTCAACCTACCCCAGAAACCATAACAGATTCTTTTTTTAAATAACGTTGAAGCATAATTCACTGAAGATATGTACTTACCCAGTCGCAACTTCCCACATCTTAATAGTCTTGTCCCTGGAAGAGGAGACGACAAAGTCCCCGTTGGGCATGAATGTGACACCACTGACGTTGTGATCGTGTCCGTGCATTGTCTTGATACACTGGTACGTCTGCTGAAAGTCCCACAGCTTGATGCTCAGATCTGCACTGCACGACACTGTCGACAGAAATTCGTGTTAGTCAGTGTCACAAACTTTGAAAAACATTGGCTCCCAAAAAGTCTGTTTCTAGGATGGCGTCAAGAATGTCGTGATTGAATTCAAGGACAATTTCAGGTAGGCTTAAGTCAAAATATCCAGGTAAAAACTTAGGGAGCCTACCAGTAGACCGACAAGATACTTGGTCGTCTGGCCACTAGACCGTCTTTTTTAATTAAATAGATTAATGCTGAAAACCAGTACGTCGACAAGTTATTTCATCGTCAGTCCAGTTGACCGGCCTGTAAAACTAAATTATTATATTCGAGAAACCAACTTGTCGTCAATCCTCCCGACCGACTTACCACTTGCTCGTCTTTTAGGTGGGGATAGGGGGCAGAGTGGGAGGAGCTAACTGGGGATTACCCAGGAGTTCGAGGCGCTTCTCATGGTTGAACCACCTCGCTCTAGGTTAGAAGCCAGTATTGCCAACTGAAAGTACAGCTCCGTCGAATACTATACACGCGGCGTGTTTATACAGACTGGCGTTAAGTTGACGTTGGCGCGCAATTCTCGTTGCGTCGTTTCTATAGCAACCGTGCCGTGACATTGTCCTTGGTCTCGCGCATTCCTCTGCCTTTGTATTATTTAATCTGCATCGAAAGATAAGACTCGCTTATATGCATTGACTATTGAGTCAATTAAAAATTTCATTCGGGGTTTTTGATCGTTTGTTTGGATAAAACTACGTACCGTATATTGTAGAATTAAATTTGTAGTGTGGTTATATGGTATTATGGTATATATAATATCCTACTAATATTATAAATGAGAAAGTTTGGATGTATGGATGTATGTTTGTGACAAGTAAACGCAGAAAATACTGGCCGGATTGGGCTGAAATTTGTTGTGATGATAGCTCACATTCCCGATTAACATGTAGACGCATTCTTATCTCAAAAGTCCGTTCGGGCTCCGCCCCAGTGGCTCTGGAATTTCCCATGTTAACCTTATGAGTAATATTTAAAACGAATAAAAGAATTTCGTCAGCTGTTTCAAATACACAAGTTGGTTCTGTGATATTAAATTCGCATTAACAAGTTATAAGACAGGGTACAGTACTATTAATTTAAATGAATATAGAATAATCCATAGCCAAATTGATATTTTTCATTGTTATGAGTGTAGGACAGATACTAAAGTGCAGCCAAATTATGTTTCTAAAAGTGGTAGCCTATATGTGTAACTATTTTATACAACAAATGTAAAGATCAAAATGTTTGTATTTTGTGTCCTCTTCCCGTTGCAAAGCACAACAGCTAGTATATACATATGTACCAGGTTTTGCGTTGGATTTTTCGTCAGTTTCGTCATTGAGCTCTCTCGTAGTAAGCTGTATCACTTGCGTCTTGTTCATGTTCTGTGGCATATTTTGTATCACTTGCTTCCTGAGACGTATCAGAGTGGTGGAAACTGGTCCACGACGTAGAGGAAGTGGAGGGAAGTTGCAAAGGCAAAAAGTCTGGAGTGTGGGAAATGCCAAGCGACTATAGAATAATACAAAACCATGCTTAAAAAGGCTTAGGGAGTGATGGAAACAGGTCCGTGACGTAGAGGAAGTGGAGGCAAGTTGCAAAGGCAAAAGGTTTGGAGTGTGGGAAATGTCAAGTGACTATGGAAATATACAACTCCATGCTTAAATACCCCCGCCGCAGCAAACCTGACGCCTAAGCGAATTTCCATTTGGCTGAATTGATTTTCAATTGATCTATTTAAATAACATTAGGTTTAACGAGTACCTAGGTTTGCTGCTACAAGGAAACTAATAAAGTGTGTGTTTTAAGTAAAATAATTATTGCTTAGTATAAAATGAATATATTTGCCAAGTTTGATCAAAAGATATCCATAAACAAGCAAACTACAACATTTAACAATATTCTCCATAAGAATAACATGGGAATTTTAAATTTACCATTTTTTTTTAGTTTTCTCCGTAACCAATAACCGTACAAAAACACTTTGATATACTGAATTGTTTGTTTTTTTTAAGCTCTTTAAGAAGGTTTAGAGAAAAATTGGGAAATTTTGTGTTTTGAGGGTCAAAAGTGAGAAAAACCAATTTTTACCCCATAAAACCCCCCATAAAACCCTGTTCCCATGGTCCGATCATGCTGGATCGCGAACTCATTCAAGTTTATCCCGCCTTACACCTTCAAACCAAATTTCATCAAAATCGGATAAAAATTACTCAAGTTATCGTGTTCACGGACACACACATATATATATATATATATATATATATATATATACATATATAAAAATTTGAACGAGTGGTGTTTTTGGCCTCAGTGGACATCAAAATGAAAAAGTAAATCGGTCCCGGGCCTAAGTCTTACCATGAGACCTACGGTAATAGCTACTTCCCTATAGGGAAATTCGCTAAAAGGCTTGAATAATGATGGAAACAGGTTCACGACGTAGAGGAAGTGGAGGGAAGTTGCAAGGACAAAAGGTCTGGAGTGTGGGAAATGTCAAGTGACTATGGAAATATACAACACCATGCTTAAAAAGGATTGAGGAATGATGGAAACAGGTCCACGACGTAGAGGAAGTGGAGGCAAGTTGCAAAGGCAAAATGTCTGGAGTGTGGGAAATATCAAGTGACTATGGAAATATACAAAGCCATGCTTAAAAATTCTTAGGGAATGATGGAAACAGGTCCGTGACGTAGAGGAAGTGGAGGCAAGTTGCAAAGGCAAAAGGTTTGGAGTGTGGGAAATGTCAAGTGACTATGGAAATATACAAGTATATATGGAAATATACTCCATGCTTAAAAAGGCTTGAGGAATGATGGAAACAGGTTCACGACGTAGAGGAAGTGGAGGGAAGTTGCAAGGACAAAAGGTCTGGAGTGTGGGAAATTTCAAGTGACGATGGAATTATACAACACCATGCTTAAAAAGGATTGAGGAATGATGGAAACAGGTCCGCGGCGTAGAGGAAGTGGAGGCAAGTTGCAAAGGCAAAAGGTTTTAAGTGTGGGACATGTCAAGTGACTGTGAAATTATACAACGCTATGCTTAAAAAGGCTTAGGGAATGATAGAAACAGGTCCGCGACGTAGAGGAAATGGAGGCAAGTTGCAAAGGCAAAAGGTTTGGAGGGTGAGAAATGTCAAGTGAATATGGAATTATGCAAAGCCATGCTTCAAAAGTCTTAGGGAATGATTAATAATTAAATTAATTTAATTAATAATTAAATTGAATCTAAATTATTGCATACAATTATTATCTGGTCAGAGGTGGCAGTGCCATCGTGCGCGCAGAATGCTTCTATTGGGAATTTTTCCTTCCTACTTGGACGTCCTGCAACCTTATTTACGATGTGCCGCAATTTTCTGGAGTCTCCGTCTGCATCTTCGATTTTATTTTTGAAAAAACTGTACTTGGCTTGTTTAATTAATGACTTGAGAATATTCCTATATCCTGTCCGTGCTGTATGAAACTGACCTGTGCTGTATGAACTTGGTCAAACTACAGCACAGACAGTAGAAGGACAAGGATATAGGTTACATGAGCCTGATAATAGATAAGGAACTCTTACACTATAGCTGTCTCCCGGCATGTCTGAATTTTACTTTATAAGGAATAAGGATGTAGGTTTGAAATACCTTCAAACATTAAATCAAGAGGACAAATTGTAACAACTGTTGAGAATTTAATTGAAAATACTGTAAGACTGAAAATATGATTTTCTGGGTGAAGAAAGTTGTCTAAATTTGAGATTTCAAAGTCCCATAACTTTCGAACGCCTCAACCCATCAGTATGGGAATAAGTATACAATGTATATGATTTAAATCTCTACAATATCTGACCAATAAAACAGTATGTCATCATGACTCATATCATGGTTGTATGTTGTATGTATGTCCTATGGTCTGGCAGAGGCCTGACGTCACATGGAACTGTCACTGTAGGTGGTCTTTAGCTCTTTCCTGCTTTAAAACTCTCAATTCTTGCGTAAACTATAGGTTTTTTTTCTTATTACCTTGCTCCAACTAGTACTCTTTTGATGGTATGAGGTTTTAAAAAGTTTATAGTTATTAATTAGAATATTATTCACGCCTGAATATTTATTATTTTCTGTTCAGTTGTGGCTCAGTAGTTGCGATGCTAACACCACGGCAAAAGAAGGTTTTAGCCATGTACCTAGTATGGAGGAGAAGAAAAAGAAATAATAATAGCTGATTTGGATTCACACAATACTTAATAATCGGCACGAGTTTGGGGCATCCAGGGTGTTATTACTCCCATAGCCCTACGCCGGAAACTAGCTAATACAGCATGGCAGTTCATGAGAAATTATTTAATTGTAATAAAAAGAAAATATTACTCTTTCAGTTCTGGGTAAAATGCAGAGCAATGCTAAAGTGGTACGTCAACTTCGTATTACGTTGTCATGAAATAACAACTTAAAATTTAATGATTGACAAACCCTAATAATAATATAATCTCTCTACGGAATGTTAGGTGTTAGTAGTGGAATATACTTGAAGTGAAGTTAGCTTTTATTCTTGAACTGTTAGGGGCCTCCTCATTTATATGGGTGTGCGGCTTCATTGGCAACAAATAATGGAAATTACATAGAAATTTGGCATTTCCAAAAAGCAAAAAAATAAATTGGCTGTTACGTAATTTATTGACGTTTACATGCATTGTTAATCAACGTATCTTATAAAGGATGATGTGATCTAGTTTAAAAGGAATATGACCTTTCTGTTATGACAGTAGCTGCTTAAATAGTATTTACTAATTGGGCCATTTTTACAGCCAAAATGTCGTGTTATTTTAAATAATGTTACCAACCAGTGAGCCACGGTCACTGAGCTATAATTCTAACTGGAGGTAGCACTGAATGTCAAAGATGCGTGTCGCCAGCCGCCATGTTTGCGTGAGGTGTGAGTTATAAGAAGCCATATTATTGCTATGGCTATTATTATACTTGGCTTAAAATACCTACTTTGTATGGTCGCCATTTCAAAGAAAATTATTAAAGTATTAAAAGTATTCAAGTATGACAAAAATACTCACTGCTATACCAACCTAGTTATAAGAAGCCATGTTATTGCTATGGTAAGAAAACTTACTGCTATACCAACCTAACAAAATCAGCGACTCGCTTTTGACAGACTTCTGCCATGGCAGTGCTACCTCCAGTTATAATTTTAGCTCAGTGGCCACGGTCCGTAATATAGGCCACTGCAAATAAGTAGCAAACTGTTAAATTAGCAAACTTATTGACTGTTTACAATTAACATAATGTTCTTCTTCCCACTTTTAATTTCTGATAACAGCTGGAGTTTCATAACACCCAATTTTGTACTAAACACACGCTGTTGTTTGATCTCGAGTAGCCGACCCAGTGTTAGCATCAAGAGGCCAAAAACTAGGAACGTAGCGCCAGCCACGTCCCTTTCACTTTCAGCAATTTTACAACCCTCGCCAACCCTACACATCCAAAGACAGAGAGAGAGAGAGAGAGAGAGAGAGGGAGAGAGACAGTAAAACAGCTGTCGAAGTCGATCGGGTCGACCTAGCCTCGGTCGTCAACTCGCTATCTTTTTCTTCGCCTACAAGCGTTTGAATAGGGGCGCGGGAAAACTACTTGTGTGATGCGGCACGCGTAATACCGGAAAAGGCCTTCGGGTAGTTCTAGAGCGCCGCCAGAATTGGGTCGCTGGAGTCGCGTTTTAGTTGCCACTTTACTATTGAAGACTCTTAAGTGGCAAAAGAGTTTATAACGAAATATACCCCCACCGCAACAAACCTGCAGACTAAGCAAATTTCTATTTGCCTGATTGGATTTACACTAAAATGACTTCTTGAAAATATCACAGTTATTCCATATTTAAATAGAATAAGTTTAACAAGTACTTAGGTTTGCTGCAACAGGGAGGGTAAAAGTGTGTTTTTTTTGTGTAAAATAATAACATTTTATAAATAAATAAATGATTTTTTTCTAATTTGATGCAAATATTTTCATAAACAAGAAAACTACTACAGTTTACTTATTCCCTGGTGTGAGTGAGGGTATACATTCAACTCTAGAAAATACGCTGGTCAACGAACGACAAAGAGCCGCCGATGTCTAGAGTTTCCTTGGATGGGTGGCCGACCGACCGGTGGTCATAGGGTGACGACACAAAGGGGGTGGTAGGCGGGTATCCGTGTCGGCCAGTGAGTCAGTGTTACCGGTGTTACTTCAAAGATGAATTATTGCCCTCGGGGAATCCCGAGGTAGGCGCGGCGCCGCCAGCTCGACACTTGTTTCGGTCACTGGTCTTGGTTGATTGTTTCGTTTTCGTTTTACTATCTTTTGATACTTTTACATGAACGATATAGCCATGATAATATTACTAATGAAAATTCAATAAGTACATTGCACACTAGGATAGTTCATGTAAACAGTTGTTACTTAAATCGTTTGGAACTCTGGCCACGTCTGTATTCTTCATTAGAGTGAACTTAACTGCAGGCTATTCAATAGACTGTGAAAAAAACTGTGAATGATTTTATGTACTTGGGGTTTGATATTTTTTTTGATAATTATAGCAAAAGCTACCAGTCTTTGTCATCCGCGTCATAATTCTTGAGCTAACTACTTCTGCAGTGATATACCTTACACGTCACAAAACTGTATTAACCCTAGATCCAGTACCTCTGCTCCAACTAGTATTATAACATTGCCGTCCAGGAATCTTTGAACATATAGTTTGACAATAATTGCATGGATAGTACAGCCGTTTCAACAAGGATTTATTTACTATATGTTCTTAAAACTGAAATTAATTAGAAATACTATTAAAATAAATTAAATTAATTAATTTGATGTGAATTTAGCTTTAGTTAACAACACTCATACAAGTTCATAAACATAAACCAAATATTTTTTTTTTACTAGAAACGATTTGCAGGGTCGTCCAGATGAACTTGGAAATAGTACCATAGATAAAAGGAGTAGACATACTCTGTCATACATACATGTCTATACTCCTTTTATCTATGATAGTTCATTAGCAAATCTGAATATACAGTAGTGCCGTGCATTTGAAGTACTTACTCAGAACGCAGACTTACTTGAGGACAGTTACACAATAAAACGCAAAGATCCACGGAAGTAAAGACTACATTATTTAGTAAAAAAAACAAGGATGCGTCAGTTAGGGCCAGTTAGACAATTGAAGTACACAGAATGGAATCACCATAGTATTGTCCATGCAACAACGTGAGAGGATAAAACATGTACTTCTTCAATTATAATTACATGTTTCTGTGTAAAACCGAAGACGTCTACAGACTTTACTAAGAAAAACTTCTCCCCGGTAACACAGGCAATGGGAATTCCTTCTAGACAAGGTTTTCAATAGGCCTACAACAAAATCATAAAACAAAAGATGTTTCTCAGGCTAAGTAGCACACTGTGCACTTCAGCAAATAAATAGTTTACCGAGATAACTATTGCTTACCAAGACAGTAGTGTCATTTAAGGAGAAATAGTACAAACTAATGTCACCAAAAGTCTAAATTCATTCTTTATTTTATTTTTTTAAGAGAGGGAAAAATAGACAACAAAGCTTTAAATAACCGGTATTATCAATTTGTATTTATCTCTCAATTGAATAAATGTAACGGTAGTTACCTCACCACTGTTCACAATATTTGACCCTCCTATTACATAAATATGTTAGTTAATTTAATATTCAAACTCGTGTACATGTTGCTCGAATTCGAGCAATTTCAAAGTATTACAGAATTTATTTCAAAACGAAAAAAAGTAATATTCAATGAGTTTAAAAGAGTCAACTCAAAGATCACCAGTGTGTAACTGCTGGAGATACTCACGATGTATATACAGTAATCAACATTTCCTGTAAATATTTTATCATATTTCATAAATTGGTATTGCTTTTTAATGTTTCTACAAATGTTTCCTGACTTATAGCTGTATAAGGTTGTCCATGTTTATCTTATTTATTGATAAACCTATGCATGGCACCACCCTTGTCGCTAGCAGTAAGTTTACAAATTTCAGTAATTTTTTAATAAAGATTAACACTTTTTTGATCATATTAAGGACTTCCTGTTGTCTGTAACAATTTTATTTGTTCAATCGGCGTATTTTTATTTATTTAGCTAAATAAAACATTTATTTCTTCGAAGTAAACTAATATAGGCCTATTTATATTCACTGTACTGTGTATAACAAAATATCGATTGAGAAACAAACAATTACACGTAATAAAAACCTCGCTAGTCCGCTGCATTATGATAGCTGAAAATCGTCGGAATGAAAACCGCCGCTACAAGATACAGAAGTTGGTACGCCTGCAGTGCCAACCATAGCTGCGCGCGCCGCTGGCACTGCCGCTCAACACATCCCCACCTAAAAGACGAGCAAGTGGTAAGTCGGTCGGGAGGATTGACGACAAGTTGGTTTCTCGTATATAATAATTTAGATTTACAGGCCGGTCAACTGGACTGACGATGAAATAACTTGTCGACGTACTGGTTTTCAGTATTTATCTATTTAATTAAAAAAGACGGTCTAGTGGCAAGACGACCAAGTATCTTGTCGGTCAACTGGTGGCCCCCCAAAAACTTAAGGTATCTTATTGTTACCAACTTTTACATTTAAGAAGCATTCTAAGTAACTAAATTAACTACAGGTCAAGAGGAAAAACTTCATATATAAACTTTTTGAACATCAATTATCGCCTATTAGATCATAATTTATGGTTTCGGTTCATTATCACTACCACGAATATAAGTGATCTTTAACCAAATTTAGGAATTTGGAAACAAAAGCCGTATGATGGTCGTCTCCAGATGATGATTGTTTTACATGTGCCAATGTTGATACAGAGTCTACAGAACGCAATCAGTGAATGGACACCTGTCTGCAGACTTTAGGCGATAAAAAATTCCTATGTTTCACTTTTAATTCCACACTAAATTCTTGTCTATACAGTGCTTACCTAGCAGTTTCCCACTGGAGTCGAAGGCTATGTCCTGCACGGAGTCAGTGTGTCCTCGTAATGACCTCTCGTACTCTCCAGACTCAAAGTCCCACACTTTGATTGTGGCGTCTTCGCTGGCCGACACAGCCACGTTGAAGATCGGGTGGAAGATCACCTGAGTAAATACAACTTTCGTTAAATCACAATAAGACACCTTATGGTGGCACGTAGTAGCAGGAAATTAAAAATTGTGTTGTGTCCAAATTTCGGTATTATAATTTAGTTCAAGAATTTTCAATTGAGTTTCTAGAAAATTAGAAGTACAAAGAAAAATTTAAGGCTTTGTGTGTCAAAAGCATAGACAGATTCTTTCTAATTTATATTTTCTTTTTTGTTGAGTTGCACTTTAGAGATGTATAATGGTGAAAAGATTATCACATATAAATTACAAACATTATCATTCACTTTTTGACAGTTTTAATATATTTACGTTCTACATACATGGATTGTGTTTATTTTCATGTTTTATTTCATTACATAAAGTTTACAAATGTCTGAACGAGTACAACACTTTATTTACTATCAGCTGGTTGTCTTCCAAAAATATTGGTTAAGAATAATGGAAGTGTTTTTAAAATTAACCCTAAAATAAAAAGTGACACATTTTACTTAACACTAAGTTTCAAACAAAATAACGGCTGCAGATTTTACAATTGGATAAAAAAAACTTACTTCTTGTGGTTTTCAAACACAATAATTAAACTTATCTGTATCAATGATTAAGGGCATCATGCCACAGTACTGAAAACCTAGATCAACTCAAAATGCATGGCAACAAATCTTGAGTTAGTAAACATATATAAACAAGCAAAAAGAAGATGAGTTCCACAGTTATTTGGTTGTAAGCCCATGAGCAAGGACATAATTATTAGGCTAATGCCACTGAGAAGTTTGTGGTAATTTTACTTTCTCCAGAAAACCACTCTTCTTCTTTCACTCATTTAAAAATTTTTGCATGATGCCTGCCTACATTTTAAACTGTTGGTGGGATACTTATCTTTCAAATTATAGAAATATAAATACAAAAATTGAATTGTAATGATATTTATGATAGTTGGTTATTTTTCACGCTATTTGTGATAACTACTTCAAACCTGAAAAAATTAGTAGTTTCAAAAAATAAATTGGTAAAGCCTTGAGTAGAATATGTTAGACAATGCCAATGGAAAAATTTTTACTTAGTTTTTCAACAGGTTTTCATTGGTCTTCTTATTTTTTTTTATGCTATCTGACCTTGCCACATCTAGTTTAGGTCTGATAATCAAAGGTGGTGATGATAAAGACAGTTATATATTGTTTTGATGTGTTATGAATACACAAGATAGGTTTTGGTTACAAATGTCTAGAATTCATAAAATAATATAGAGTAAAATACCTTAGTGACTGGGCCCCGGTGGCCGGACAGACAGAACTTCTCCGGTGGCCGAGGGACCCACTCTGAAGGCGATCGCTTCGTTCGTGTCGGTGCTCCTTCAATGTACTCCTTTTCTGCTTCTGACAGTTTTGATTCTAGCTCTAGAACCTGAAACATTTTGAAATATTTAAATATTATATTAAATGGATGATTTTTTTTCTAATTGCTTAGTGTCTTTAACTACACTAATTTCAGGAGGAAAGCAACTCTTCCTGTTTTATTTGGCCTTAACATATTTTTAAATTTCTGTAACAAAAAATCTTACTTAACATCATACTATCTAGCCCTACCAGTTAAAACTGTTTTGGTTGAATTTGAATAATCTGTTTAAAGCATAAACTAAGAATTGGTACAAAAATTCAGCCATTTCTAGCTAGAACAATACAGTAATATTCCAACAAACTACAAAATAATTTTGTTACATCATTGGCTATGTTTACAGTTGATATTGCTTTGACAAAGTCATGTTTATCCCTTCAACAATGACAGATAACTGTGACTTAAATCTAAACAACTAAACAATCTGTTGTGAGAATAAATCCAAACAAAAAAATACTCATTTGTGACAGATTATCAGGTGTCTTAATAAATCTTAAATCCAATATATATCAAATGTTTGTTCATGAGGTTAGAGAAATACTGGTTACAACCACTTGTAATACTGTATAATAATAAAATGTATAAGCTTATATTTAAATTTATAGATTACAAGGCGTCAGAGAAGAGTCAGATATTTTGCTCTAATCTGAAGTGTTAAGCCACTAAGTCTTGCTTCCCTCATATTGTAAAGACAAGCGTTCACGGCTCCTTATTAAACCTCCTCAAAACAGCAATTGGGGGAGGTTTAATGAGGAAACGTATACCTCCCATTTTAGTTAGGTCAATCCTCATTTCAACCTCAAGTATAATCTACTCATCTCAATAATAAATTAATTCCAGCAGAGATCCCTACTTGTAAGTTTTCCTAAATTTACTTAAGATGAAAGTGGTAGCATATATCAATTTCTGTTAGAACCCTATTAATTGTAAAGGGGAGGGGGCGTCGAGTGGTTAAAGTGCTCGCCTTCTAACCTGAAGGATGCAGGTTCGATCCAAGCAAGATCGATACTATACCCAGATGCCATCTATAGTTGGACTACTAATTAGTTATTCTATCTAACAAAACGATGACACAATCAAAAAAGATAAGGCGTATTTCAACACCAAAAAAAGAAAAATATTACTAAAATGTATATCTGAAAGACGTAATGAAAGTTGGAGGAACTCAAAGGACCAACCTTTTTCTGCAGGCGGATCACTGAAGTCCACTTCTTCTCCAGCAGTCCTCCGTACTTCCTCTCCACCTCTCCCGGCATGTCCGCATCCTTCTTGAGACCCTCCAACGCCGTCAGGTAGCCATTGCTGCTCAGATAGTCTGCCACTGCTTTATTCCTGCAACACAACCAGTCTTGGTCAGTCTGTGTCTAGATAGTAATGCAGTAGATCATGTAGAGACAAGCTTCTGTTTGTTTTAAAAACTATGTACTATAGAGGTTAAGATCATGATAAATTTGTTTTACAGAGTTCGCATTCGTCTTGTAGAGGTTTTGTGCTAAGAATATTCGTTGTATAGAGGTTAACCAGTCCTAGCCCATGTGACAAACAAATTCATCTTATGGAGGTTTTAAACATAATTTACTACGTTGTATAGAGGCGTTTTTAGCATTGACCTTTATGAAAGTTTCAATGGGATTTAACAAATTTTGTCTTATAGAGGAATTTGTTTTACCGAGGTTCTTACTAAAGAGGTTCGACTGTATAAGCTATTATCTTAAAAGGCATGGTAAGAGCAGAGAGAAGTAAGGTAGGCCCTACAGAGGAAACACGCATAGGGGACAACCGCAGGGTTGCCACCTTAGGTTAGGGAAAATCGGGACATTGCCCCCCTCCCACCAAATTAACATAGGCTTATATTCGGGCATAAGGAACCAAAATCGGGACTGTCTCGGCAGAATCGGGACGAGTCGCAACCCTGGACAACCGTGCGCTTTCAGCTCGGGTAGAAATATTACTTGTGACCAGCAAGGGAGAGCCTCTCACAAGGCACAGGATCTTCCTCCACCGTCAGCGTTTTATGAGGGTGATGGGGATGGTGTTGGACTTTGCCCTTAGACACCAGCGACTAGTGCTTAAGACACCGCTTAAAGCGTTTATTATCTGTTCCTTAATTCTCTGTGGTCCCAACACTGATTTGCTGGTTTTTTTTTAGATGTACAAAAACAGAATTTGTTTGAATATATATGTGTGTCATTATTTGCAATTGATGAATATTTGTCAAAAATCTGTCGAGTAGCAGATAAGTCCACTAATATGTCAAATAAAAAAAATATATATTAAACAATTGTTCCAAACTTTACCCTTTATACATAAAATGCCTAACTTTTACTGTACAATCATAATGTGCACAGCTTTAAAGATTATTAGGCGATGTATATTACATGATTGTTGTAATACTAATTTTTGCCAGGCATATACCTTACATATTTATTGCTACCCTGTAAATAGCTGACAAAATGCCGATTTCAATTAATTATAGAAGCAATTTATCGAGACCCAAAATTGCTAATAACAACTCTAAAATTAACTCGTCGGAGAAGCGCCCACGACCTAATCCACTTCGGCGTGACGCACAATCAGATTAAAGGGGTGGCGAGGCTGGGCCGATGTTATCAGCCAAGAGAGTATAGGGGATGATGCTTGATATTTTCACCAGGGGTAGTAGCGGTCGCCATGGCAACGGGGCGACCAATCAATATACGGCGGCGACACAGAGGTGACGTCACCGTCAGCTGATGCTCTTGAAAACAAAACACACCTCACCTTGGTTGCGGCCGCCATCTTGGCAGTGGTATTTAAATATTAAATACCAGGGGCCCATTTCATAATAAAGTACAAACTAATATTATTAGTAAATCAGCTGATCGCCCAATGCAAATCTAATGGAAATTACAAGTTACAAGTTGTAACTTGTAACTTGTAGTTTATTATGAAATGGGCCCCAGGTGGGATCGATGTCCCGAAATAGCACAAAACTGTGACTGAATAGCTGTACGCTTGGTTTAAAATAGGTGAAGCACGATTGGAATCACATTTAGATATAACAAAATGTAACACTCGACCGTGTGGGCGCCAGGCGGGTTCGTATGAGAGAAGAGAAGGTAGATGATTTTTCATCTGCTGGGGTTTTGTCTTTTGATTTATGCGTGAATGAAAAAAAAACTACCTACTATAAAATTAAAATCGACCTTACTACTGTATTTGATGTTTTATGGGATCATTTTACAGATGTCTCAGCCAGTTTTAAAGTTTTCCAAGAAGTAACCAAAGGAGTCTTCCATATGTTGTCTACTTTCGTTGAATAAATGTAGCAACATACCTTTTAACAAAATTGACAGCTCACAATTAGTATATTCTTAATTGTGTTTAATTTTGTTACATTTCTCTTCCAATGCAATTAAATTTCATTGTCTAAATGAACATTAGAACGTGATTACAATTCCCTACTCCACGTTAATAGATCTTCCAGACAAGTGCTATTAACTTATAAGCGTTCTAGCGTTGATATCGTTCCATTATTAACATGTTAACCACCCATTTTAGAAGCTGGAGAGCTACCTTTATTGTTTAAATTATTTTCTAGCTTATTGTACCTGCGTGTGTGTGTTCACATTAGTATTATGACATTCAATACAGAAGCTGGAATTTCCCTTCCAATTCATACTTCAATTATCATACTGCTATAAACCTTTAGAAGTACCCGATTCACTTAACCCACTTTAAAGAGACTGCCGACTGTCTGCTATAAACAATTACGTTCTCGCTTATTTGTGTCATACGACGCTAGGATTTAGCCCAGTATCGTTTTTGACATTACTTCAAGTTAGACCTGGGGGTTGCGGTAATTTGGCAGGGTTTTAACCCAGGACCTCAGTGACCGAAGTCCCGTGCTATACCACCAGACTACCTCACTCCCCAACGTACTTGCTTACAAGACTCTTCATTCAAAAATGAAAATCTAAAAATCTAGAAACAAGGACGTCTTGATTCATCACTGATGACTAACTTCCTCGGAACATTCCTCAGCAAAGAGTTTTCTTTCAATCCTCCATTTCAGGCCACCCAACTTGTGTGCATATTATGAACCAGTGGTAACCTTATTCCGCTTGCGATTCCTCCTCCGAACCTCCACGCCAGACCGCCAACATCCATGCTTGTGTCTCAACACTCTACTCCAAGGTAGGTCTGTGGCTCGTTTAGCCAGTGTTGCAGGGTAACGCACGCCGACTCAAGGCATTCCAAGTGGCGGTTTCCGCCAATCGATTCGTCACCCTCGCTAATATTCACGGTCTGCTCCCGGTTTGTTTTGACCGGGGCGAATCAAAATCAGGAACTGAGGAACTAAGCAAAGACCTTGAACCGAGGAACGTGGACGTGGACCATGGGGACTGTAGGAACTAAGCTAGAGAGATACAACTAGAAGTAGCACTGAATGGGATGATTGCGAAGCTATGACCTAATGAGCTGATTCCCCTAGTTGGTACAACAAAATAATAAAGTGTCTCAATTTCCTAACAGTTTACGTGTCAGTTCTACCTCCAGTTGTGCTTTTACAAGGGCTGTAACTGTAAGCGATGTCTCCATGGAGGATCCAATTATGCTAAGAACCACCATAAATACGAGCAAATTGATCGTGACAATTATATGCGAATCAGATGACAGCCTTCAACATAGTGTCACAGGTGCGGGTTAGTTTCACAACCAATGATTTCATATTGAAATCGTCAAAACAGTGAATGACTTAAGATAGTGTTATTGCACAGAGAAGGTACAGAGGAAACCTTCAATGGTACATGTGGTGTCTAGGGAAAAGTACAACACTACCCCCACACACACACTCACGGTGGAGGAAGGCTCTGTACCCAGAGAGATGCGAATTTTCGCTCAGTGCTCGCCGTTCGGCGATTTCAACAAATGATGATGAATAAACGTAGAGAATACAGATTAATAACATCAGTATACACGACTAAATATAAGGTGGAATAGTAAAAGATTGACAAACACCTTAAGAGACATATGCACGGTTTATTTCAGCAAGCATTGGGTCGGATGGTTTTCTATTCATACTGTCGGAGTGCATAGAGCTGCCGAATCGTTGACAAACTATTTGGAAAGTGTTTAAACGGCCTCTGTGCAAGTACAGGTGTACCACAACAGCACATGTTGGTGACGTCATCGCTGGGAGTGCCATTACAACATAACTGCCGCCAACGCACGGTCCCGGACACTTTATCGCACTACACTGCTCGACAGGAATGTCGCTCGATATCGAGTATCTGGCTGACACGCGTGCTAAATTACAATACCTCTCAAAACACAGGTATCATTCAATTTCCCTGTATAAATAGGATCGGCTAAATATTTTAAAATTTGAAAAACTACGTAGGTAGTTTTGTATTGTATTGTTCGTTTTATAGTGAAATCTACAGACAATTTTGCCTATGTTTCATGGTTGGTTGGCTACACGTGGTCACGTAGACAAAATGTTTCTCTCCTACTTAAAAATAAATTTTACAGTATGTGCTTTTCTCATTCAAATAACACGCCCGCCACAGCAAAGGCAAATTTATGTTTGCCTAATTGTTTTTTCTCTTTTTTTTCTAAAATATATAGACTTTTTTATATCATTCGATTTCAAGTGTACCTAGGTTTGCTGCTAAAGGGAAGGAAACAATGTTTTTTAAATGTGCAAGAGTAAATTTGTCAACTTCGACCAAAATCACAAACAAGCAAACAACAGTTAGCATTTCCCTCAAAAGAATAATTTGAGATTTTTAAATGCACAGTTATTTTTTTATATCCGTAGCCTTTGGGCAAATCATAAACATACATAGTATTATTTGTTAAGTCTGGTTTACGGATGGTTTCACTGAAAATCGTGCATTTTTATGAGTTAAGGGGCAAAAATTTGAAACCCCAAATTTTGGAACAATTTTAACATCCCCATAACACCCAGTCCCCAAAACCCGATCTTTCTGGTTCCTGAACTCATTCGAGTGTATCCAGCCATAAACGCTCAAGCCTAGATTGAGTCTCGATTATGGGTATCTTGGGTTATCCAACTTCCTTCCTCAGCGTAAAATCCCAGAACAGTAACATGGACTTAACGTCAGAAGGGACTTAGCACTCAGTAGGCCTAGCTGGTATGATGAGTCGAAGACTGTGAAAAAAACTGTTTATTACATCCAACGGTTGGCAAAAACCTTAAAACTTCTTGTACGAGAAAACGATTGAACAACAACGATAAAATAAGCAATTTAACGCAACAATAAGTCTGCGAAAGTGAAGATGAAGATGAACCAACACGACGTGGAATGTTGGAATGGTCGCGTGAT